CTTTAACCAAATGAGATCTAGAATGAAATGAGGTCAAGGTAACGACTTGATACCTTCCAAAAGATGCCAACTAAGGTAGATATCAGATCCCCACATGTTCCTTGCTTCTAGCCACTTGCTCTCCAAGCTCTCCTTACAAAGATCCTCCTTCCAAAGCTTGAAACACACAATAATGGAGCACACTCATGGATTAGGGTTTTGCTGAACTCTCAGGAGACTGCAAGGAGGCCAAAGGAGGCTAATGATCCCTTAAATAGGGTGCAAAACCCCGGAAATTAGGGTTTCATCCTCCAGCTCCTACTCGTCGAGTCCCTTCTTGGACTCGGCGAGTAGGTCACTTAAACACGTGGACCAACCCGCTGCTACTCGACGATTCAGGGCACCCAACTCGTCGAGTAGACCTTGAAATCATGAAAATTTAACCATAAATCAATACTTTGAGAATCGGGGCATTACAATTCTCCCCCACTTGAATTAGACTTCGTCCTCGAATTGGACTCTGGCAGTTAAGTAGATAAGTAATTGTAGATTATATGCTAGTTGTCTTTGTGATGCTTGCATGAAAGACCAGGAGGTGGCTTCTGGCACTTGTCTATAAGACCCAAGGTTTTGGACCCCGGCCTGGCAAGGAAAGACCATGATACGGCTCGTGGCGTAATGGCAAGACTATGGTTGGAACATAGCACCTCCTATTGCATGTTTGATATGTATGGCTCGTATGTTACGTATGATATGTGGTATTTTGGGGGAACTCACTAAGCTTTGTGCTTACAGTTTGTGGTTTATGGTTTCAGGTACTTTCGTTTCAAAAGGGAAGGGTCTGGTTTGATCGCAACGCATACACCTATATTTTCCGCAACTTTGAGATTTTGGGATTGTACTCTGATAATTGTTTTATTTTAAATACTTTTGAATGTTTGAATAAATGATAAATGAGTGTTTTGATTATATTAAAAATGAAAATTTTACCTGTGATTTTCGGGAGGCTACAAGTTGGTATCAGATCCTTGGTTTGAGGGATTCGGGCAAACTCTCGGGTATGCATGGACTCAAACTGAGGGTTTGGTGAAATTTTTTATAAAATAAATGTTTTATAAAAGGGGTTTCTACTCAAATAAAGGGGTGTGATGTGTGCAATCGGCCGAGCTTAAGTAAGTGATTCCCAGAATACCCATACATGTTTATTATGATTATATGTATGAGAATTTCATGCTAGGATGAGGCTAGGGATACTTTCAGGAATTGCATGATAGATTGGCCTGATATGTGATGCCTTGTAGCGTAGGGAGCATTTTTAATGTTATGTTGGATTGGGAATATGTATTGGTATCAGTAGTTGCTAAGTGTATGCTTTAAAAACTGTATACGGATAGGATCTTATTGATGGGTTATGAGCATTCTAACACTCCTAAGGTGTTCATGCAACCCTAAATACCTTGGATCTATGTTTTCTCTATTATACATGCAAACTTGAAGTTTCCAAGGTATTAACTTAACTAGCATATAATCATATTTATTTGCATAACAAAACTATACATGACTTTTCTTGTAGTTGATTACTTGGGGCTTTAAGAGCCTAGCACCAATAATGTGAATGTCTCAAGTGGAATCACAAATCACCATCAACAACCTTGAAGACTTGAGAGAGAGAGAGAGTTGCTTCACAAAATCGGCCAAGCTTTTTACACACACACACAAGTGCCAATTTTATGAGCCAATGACTCCTTTATATAGTATGCATGATTAGGGTAAACCCTAATACCCATGACTTTCCACATTACTTAGGATCCATGGGTTAAAAGCTCCATGGACTATCCATGGACTTCCATGTAGGCTTATCCCATCCTAAATAACATTAGCCCATACTATATGAGTCGATATTTAACTAGTCTCTTTTGATCACTAAATTAATTCCAAATTAATTCTTGATCAATACTAATTAAATAA